AAAAATATAACATCATTTAATACATTGTACATACAAAGTACATTGTTGTGAATTGTTTTGTGGAATTTCTGATATAAGATACAGTGATTTTTATTAGTAGTTAATTTTTTGAAGTAACAGGTATAAATTTATTTACAGAAAAATTAACTTGGTCAAGCAGAGAATGAATATATGATGGTTGGTGATGGGAAGGTTAATTGTGTTAATTAGAAGGCAAGCTTTCCTAAAATAACAACAAGACTCAGGAAGACTGGCTTAACATATAAAACCATGCCTGGATATAATCTGAAGTCTATTTAGTGTTTAGTTATTTATTCTTCTTGCTCTGATTATAATTTTGGGATCGCTATATTTCACAAGCTGATTCTGGGACCCAGGCTCTTCTCTGCTTTTGCTCTCTTACTTTGTGACCATCTCTCTCTTACCCATGGTTAAATAGTGAAACCATTACCTGTCCACTATTTCCATGTGAAGAATAGATGAGAATTATTTTACAAAGGAAAAACTATTACAATTTCCTTTCAGAATAATGAATGGCTCTCATACAACAATGTAATTTATTAAGATAGCTATAGGACTATTCAGATGACCTATTTCTTCTAATGTATCTTCAAAGAATTGTACTTCTTAATTCCCAAATTTATTAGCAAAATTTGGTTTACAATATGTTTTACTTTCCATTTTGATATTTTTGATTACTATAGTGAGAATTTTATTTCATTCTTGATACAACAATATTTGTTTCTCTCTTTGAAGTGGTAACCTTTGAGCATAATATTCCAAAATGTATTAATTTCCACTTAAAATGGTATTTAGGATAACCTTTAAAATCAGACTTTTTGAGAACAGATGAAATTTTTCTTTCCAACACTTTGTGATTTTTGACAAGGATTTATTAATATGTTGGGTTTAAATACATATTATATTAATATGATTTTATTCCATTCCCTTTATTTTTAAAGTAATTGAAATGACATTTTCTCATATTTCTCATATTTTTGTTTGTATTTTATACTTTTCATCTCTTTTCATTATTTTCATACAAATTTCTCCATAGTGATCCTTGCAGAGTTCTCTGACCAACTTGACAAATGGTTTCAGGCATTTCTTATTTAACAGATACTGACTAGTATTTCCTCAAATTTTTTCTGTATAATGTTTTCTCTACATTAGAATACTTATTATTGGTCCATAATTATTTAAAACTTTTTAATCAAAATAAATAGATTTAAAACAAAAATGAAAAATGTTTCATTTTAAATTATTATTTCTTATGAAGGTGTCAATTTCTAAATTAGACAAAGAACTAAAGAGTAGAATTTTAATATTTTATTCTAGACACTTGTACAATACAGAAAAAATAATTACATTATGAAAAAAGTTTTACAATTGCATGCATGAATGTAGAAAGTGTAAATAAGGATTAAAACAAATAATTGATCATTTGAAATAGGAAGAAACCATCGAAAGGGGTAGGGGAAATGGTAGGGGAAGGAGAAAGGAAAGAAGGGAAAGGAAAAATTATGAGAAAAGGAAAAAATGGAAACAAAGTCTTTGTAAATAGGGAAGGGGGAGGGGGGTGAAGGGAAGATAAGGAATGGGGAAAAAATAAGAACCAAGATACATCATGTAAAGGTACAAGATTCCAATGATGAATGTAATTGTATTGTATACCTAAAATGTACCAATAAAAGAATTTAAGGGAAAAAATACCAAAAAACATAACTGTTTATATTTCAAGAGCTAATTAAGGAATGTGACAAGAGAATTGTTGCATCACCACAAAACAAATTGTGGGTAATTAACAACAAAAGTTCTAGAACTTTGGAGAATGTACTGAAGGGCTAACCGAGATGAGAGAACAATAATCGGCATTGTTCTCTCCTATGAAGATAACATAGTTTGACAGTTTCAAGGAAACAGTTCTCAGTTGGAGAATGTCAGTATATCTTTAATATCTCAGAAGAAAGACTGAATCTCCACCTTTCTACATGCATGCAACTTATCATTGTATACTTTATTACTGCCATTTCCTTAACATTATTTTTGTTTAGTCAACTTGTTTTGGTTTATTTTCAATTTCACAATGATTTCTCAATCTGTACTGACACTACTGATGGGCCTGTAGGAAAGCCCTATGTATCTGATGTCTGATTACTTGTGTGTGTGTGTGGGGGGGTGGCTTCTGGAGGGCTTGAGTCTTCTTCTGGAGAAGGTGTTTAGCTTCTCCTAATTTGGAGAAATGCATTGAATAAGACAAGCACAAATGTTTACAAAGTTTGTTTGAAGAAGTAAAAGTGAATGATGAGACATTGGCTGTGCACAGATAACTTAGATGGAAAAACAGAAGGAACAAAACCTACACCCTGAAGAACAAAGGACAGACACCATGGCTATGTCCTTTTATGCCCTCCACACCTGGTGGGGGTCTCTGAAGACTTCTACATACAAGGTCCTGAGAGCGGGGTGCTGTGTAGACTGTGGGATCCTGACATGCCTTTTTTCCAGCCAGAGGCCTTTCTCTTGTCTCCTGGATGTATTTCCCTATTTCCCTGGGCTTCAGAAGCTTCCAATTGTCTAGTGATAACATTCATACATTCATGCATTTATTGTTTATCTTCTCCAGGAAAATTGTTTTTCAAGCCGCTGTGAATGCCTGAAGGCAAATACTAGAGGAATGGCAGTATTTGAACTGGCTGACTTTATTAGTCATTCTGATATGTTTTTCAAAGCTACCTGAAAAGAAGCCTTTGAGATTAAATAAGCTCCACATTCTCCACTTTTGCTACATGCTCACAGTTGACATTCACTTCAAAGCTATGGTCAATTATATAATGAGTTTAAGGCCAGTCTGAACAACATAGTGAGACCCTGTCTCAAAAATAAAAACACCACAAAAGAGTGATGTAGTTAAAACTTTTGTATGCTGTTTTCTCATCTGTGATAAAAAGAAATAGTATAGTAATTTTTTGGAGATTTTACTGCAGAAAATTGATACATTAAAATATGTAAAGTATTAGCACAATTGCCATGAACCTAATAAGGTTCATATAAATCCATGTTATTACTTTTGCATGGGAAGAATGGATCCTTAACCATTCTAGGGTTTCTGCCAGTGAGAATAAAACAAGCAGAGAGTTTACCTAGAATGAATGAAAATTTATTACATAAAATTTTACATAAAGGAGGGCTGAAAAGTGGCAGACAGGAGGCAGCACCCACAAAATATTCCTGGGTATTAAAAAAATAATCCACCTGTGTTCAATGCGCAGAGTAGTTAATTTTGTTTTGGGGAGTTGGTATATCTACATACTGCATCCTGATCATTTTAATTCCCTTACTTTCCCCACCATCATCTCTCCCTTTTCTCATCACCAATTCTCTACCACCCTGTTTCCTCCTCTCTCCTTCATGTTAATTTTTAAATTATTTACACTTCAGTTTCTCATACATGACAAATCATGCAATTCAGGATATTTGTGCAAATCAACAGATACCTAGCTCTGTACGGAGATAGAAGAACTGGAGAAAATTACTCCATTGCAATTTCAGTGAATGAGGAACCAGGCTAAGCCTGGGCATATTGGTGTTTCATGTGATGAACAAAGGAAGTAATGCACAGCCCTGAGTGTGTGGATGCCCTGGGAGGGAGGGAGGGAACTTCTCCTGTGCCTGCAGTAAGAGAGGCCTCAGAACACTCTCAGGACTGCTGGCTTTGACACCTAACAGAGCCACAGCCTGAGCAGGAGGAAACCAGAGTGTAGCCAAGTGAGGGGGCCAACAGTGCCAATCTGATCTTTCCTTCTGTCTCAGACAGTGTTGTGTCAGGAGTCATCTTAGAAGTCCCCACTTCCTCTGCCTCTGCATAAAAATCAGGAAAAGGACAGAGAAGAAAGCCCCTGATTGCCCAGCCCTCTGCTCTGCTGGGAGGCATTTAGAGTAAGCAGGGCAGTGCATAGACATGGGCCAGCTGTACCTCTCTAGCCTGGGAATTGATGTGCTGGGGCCATGGTCAGGACCTGAGCACAGATTATGGAGATACTATGTTTTCCCCTCACCTTTGATCCTAAGAGCAGAGGGGATGAGGGCACCTGTGGTCCAGATTCCCCAAGGGCAAATCTGGCAGAGGACAGAGGTCACCACAGAGGGCAGAACTCAGCTCCAGGTGCCCCTAACATGCTTCTAGTGTTTGTGCAGAGACTGAGAAAGAGATAGGAAAGAAGAAAAGCAAGATAATTGTGCTGTTCCTTCTTTACAAGTCATCATCCACCAACAGACACCAACAAGGCTGCAACTCTCCTGTCAGTGTGGTGCCCTCCCCTTGAGAAGCTGGTGCTGTGTTTTGGTGGTGGACAGAGCCACATGACACAGCTGAGATCATAGAGGGAGTGTCCTTGGCCCACTGCTAACATCTGCAGTCCGAGGAATGGCCTTCTATAGGATTCACTGGCTTCAGCAATGCCTCCTCACTGGATCCCAGCCATGAATCTAGAGGCTCTGTGGAGTCAGGTACAAATAACAGGCCTGCAGCTGCTGTATGAGCAGCACTGCCCACCACTTCTTGGGTCAGTCTAGAAGGCTCCTCCAGTGGACTGAACCCTTGTGCTATAGCACAGGTCCCCATAAAAGAAAGGCTTGCTTTGGTGGTTCTGTCAACAAGCTCCTTATCTTTTGGGTAATGTGGGTTCAACATCTTGTCTATCTGCTCAGGACTCATGTTCATAAGTAAGGTGTGTAGAGGGGTGGATTCTAAAGAAAGAGTAAAAAGCACTAGGGGAAGTTAGCACTGGGGAACTGCAGAAACCAGCAGCCAACAAAGTTCAGCAGTGGAGACCAGCACACAGCAGGGTTCACAGACAGTGTTTGGTACAAACTAGCTCTGGAAGGCAGTGACTGGCAGCCTCACAGGCCAGCACTTGATAGAGTCACCAAACCTTGTCCATCAGAAGCTGGCACCACAAGGAGGAAACCAGCAAAGATCAGTACCCAGGTGGATGACCATGGTCAGCACAAGACTGCAGTGTATGAAGGTTATCCAGTGTCATCTTGTGCCAGCAGAATTGCAAGGAGAGCTACATTTTGTCAGTTCAGAAATTCCATCTTAATTTAACCAAAAGATCCCTAGTTTCATTGGCAACACAGTCAGTCCCCCTCCCAACACTACCAAAGACAGTACTTGAACTCTGTGGGCCTTCTTGATTGTAATCAAAGTCTACACAGTCGCATCTGCACATGGGTTTCCCCTGTTGGGCCTCCACCTGGAACAGGCTCCTCCCAGGTACTTGTAGGCCTCCTCCTTCAAGTCTCTTCTCAATAGACATATTTGTGTTGAAGTCGACCTTGACCACATGATAACTCATTGCTGCCTCCTCCTCCAACTACTGAACCTCCATTGATAGTGTTCTTTCCCATGCTATTTCCTCATTTAGAGTGCATTTTATGACAATATATTATCATTATCACTTGGTTTTTTAAATTTTCTTTTTCCTTGATGGGTATTTATAATCTGCCAATTCTACAATTGTTACACTCAGATGTCCACATCTACTTCTTCATCATCCTCGGATTCTATGAGTTATTATATATTTCTATAAGTTTAATAAATTTAATTAAAAGAAGTCATATTTTCTGATTCCTGTATAATGGACTATGAAATTAATTTTTTAAAAAATAAAACACTAGCTGTTAACCAATATTTTTAAAATAAAACATGATTTTAGAATATTGTTATACAAAAATTACCTATAAAATATACATGAATAGTAATAATCCAAGCAATATATATGAGTGAAAAATAAAGTGACACTCATAAGACAAATGCAAATATTATTTTTCAGGGTGATTGAACAGAGCAAAAATAAGATAAGTAGCTACTACTATTAAATGTGAGAAAGAAAAGTGAATTAAACTGAATAAAGTTGGGGAAACAATATAATAAAATAGAGCAATCAAAGTATTATAACTTGTTGTTTTAATTTTTATTTACTTATTTATTTATTGGTACCGCTGACTGAAGTCAAGACCTTATGCTTGCAAGGGAGGTGAGGTACTGCTGAGCTAAATCCCTGGCTCTATTATAACTTTTAAAATAGCACTTACCAAAGACTGAAGATAACCAATGTATTCACCATGAAGAAATTACAAAGGAGGAAGGTGTTGCACAAAGTAATTAATCTCAATCGATTACTATTGATATGCATGAATCAAAATGTCAAATTTTACATCATAAATTTGTGTAACTATTATGTCATTTAAAAATAAAGAAAAGAATATTCCAATATTTAATGAACCAAAGATGAATGAGAAAAAAATATATAGTAAGAATAATCCAGGAGACTGTAGGAAGGGAAAGAGAAAAATGAGTTTTAAAAAGGGATAATTTAAAATATGATGACTCTTTCCCACTTGTAAAAGATCTATGTCCATATTTCCTACTAAGAAAATAAAATCCGAAAAGAAATGTGATGACTAAGTGTGGGTGGTCTCTCTAGAGGGAGACCTGGAATCCTGGAAAGCACCAACTCTTAAAGAAAGAAAGGGACACAGCCTGGGGCACAAACAGCAGTTTAATTCCTCTGGCACTATTGGACAATCACAAAGGGAAGAAGCAAGGCTTTTATACATGTAGGAAAGCAGCTTAGTTATTCTGGCTATCATCTTTCTGATTTTAACCTCTGGTGACAAATGACTTTAAGTGACTCATAAAAGCTACAGGCGAATTCACAAGTCCCCTGTTTCTGTTCACCAATCCCGTACATCAAAGAGCACATCACAGCCCTCTTCTTATCAATAGTATCAAGAGAGCAGGATGACTTTAGCCAAAATCAAGCCCACTGGTCCACCATAAACATCACAGATGGCATAGTGAGTCCTATCTCTCTTACCACCTGTAGAGTCATTGGGTCATGGTCCTCTGATCCCAGAAAATGGTAAATAAGAAAACTAGGAAAACCTGTTTTTCTCCTGGGAGACTTTTACAACATCTCTTAAAGTTTTCTGCCATTCTTTTAACAAAAAAACTTGTGGAATTCCCAGAAATGACTTAATTTTCTTAGTTAAACTTCTTGTGATCTATTCTTACAACTAGATAGCTGAATTTTACAATTTCCCACAACTAAGTAGCTAAAATATATCATGGTTTCAAGTGAAAGAGATTATACATTCCTGGCTTCCATTTGGTTGCTATTGTGAAACAGTTGTTGCAAACATTTCTCTGCCATCATAAGTAGCTCAACACATGGCCCATATGTTTCAATGTGTTTCAATGATAGAAAATCTTGCATAAGAAAACCTATCTTATGGCATCTTTCAATTGCATGCCTACTGAGAAGATATTGGCATAGAAATTCATCTTTAGTCTTTCATTTGGATTAAATTCCAAATTGTGTGGTAGGCACATAGTGTGATACTGGCTTCTAAATTTCTAAACCTACCTGTCTCAGTAGAATCTAAAATATCAATGAATAGAGTTTTATCTAAACAAGTCCACTGGCAATATAATTCTTGACAGGAATACTCCTTTATCCACCACCACATACTTCCAGACATGAGCACCTTTTCCTAGGAGATTCTAATGTATAGTTGTTCATGAATTTGTTCACAAAATTCACAATAATTTTTCTTAGATTCAAACTGTGCCTTATTCACTCTTTGCTTCCTCTTTTAAGATAAATAATGCTGAATGAAACATTTCAGTTTCACTGTTATGTCTTCATTTCTTCTTATTCTTTGTAAGTCATTTGACCTGATTCCATAAAAAAAGTTTGTCTACTGAATTCATTGCAAAATTTTATGTTAGCTTCAGGGCTGATTGACTCTTTCTGTTCACTTTTCTTTTACAAAATAAAAACAAAACAAAACACACTAAAGCAGTAACCGCATTGCACAGCATGGACTATATAGATGGAGCAGGTGACACAGACAAAATGGGATGGAGATTTGGACCCATTTCAGTGATGCCTTAAGATATCCATTTATCAGCTGGGAGCACTCAGTTTACTCAGTGAGGGATGGGACACCGTAGAATATGTAACACATGAATGTGTTGGTTAATAAAATGTCAACCTCCCATAGTCATGGGATATTATGATATTTCAGCTATTTAATTAGAATGACATAGAAGACACAGAATCATGATAATTAGGTAAATCTAGAATTATGCATCCAAATAAGCTTTATAGGCACAAAGCTAAATACTATGGAGAAATTGTTGTGTAAGCAAAATATTAAAAAGTATTGAATTGTTTCATGCTTTTCTTTGAATTGTGTTGTTTACTTTTTTTAAAATAATGATGACTTACTTCTATGGTCAAGTCATACTTTTAAGTATATAATAATTCCTGGTGAGATTTTTGTATTGCATTCTTTATAGTGCTATTCATAAATACATCTCTAGAAATATTTTCTCCAGAAACTTATTCAAAAATTCCTGACTGGTCGCTTCAATGCAAATGTGATTTTCTGAAAATCTATATATTATTTGTAACTTTGAAAAGGAAAAAATGAATTTCAGCCACAGATTCAAGGATTACAAAAAGAGATGAATTATTTATGGTTCTTCCAAGGGAGAAAAAAAATCCTTTGTGAAATTTTGTCCTTGGAATCAGGCCAAGCAACCTTCCCTAGAAATTATGCCCTGAGGTTGACCAATGTCACATTACTCTGAGAGCCCATTATGTGAGTGCCTGGAGTGATTAGTGGGGAGGGAAGGAGCACACTGTCATGTTCACATACACACTTCTGCCCTCAGATGCTCTCTGGATAAAAGCTCCTCTTAGAGTTTCCATTTCATCAAGAGCTGAACTGAATATAATTTACCTCAGAATAGAAAAATGAATGCACAAAAGCATAAAAATAAATTACATAAGAAACAAATCTATTAGAAATTTTCAGCTGCTTATTTGGTTTTAGCATTTTATTTTTGAGAATAATTTGAACTGGAAAAGATTCTACAGAGATGTCCCTGGAAAGATTTGTTTACAGCAACTTTGTCTTACAGTAAGTATTGTTCCTCAAATTCAAAGGGATTAGATTATATAAAATGCAATGGAAATTTTACCAGGGAAATTAGCATACATGTATCACTTAGGCCTTACCTTGAGTAATGATAAGATTTGTGAAACTAGAACAAAGAGTGGGTAGAATCAAAGTCTTCAGCACATGTACATAATTTGAAAAGGTATTTTTAAAATAAATTAGATTTTGATTGATCAAGTTGGGAGAAGATATTGTGTTAACAGAGTTGCAGGTCTGTACTGCCCCTTATCCCCACAAAAAGTAGCAGAAAATTTCTTTTGGTGGAAAGAGAAGAGATTATTCACAGCTACTGTGAAGGAGAGGTGTGGGGTACTTAGCTTCTCACATCTGGACAGGGGCTGTGACACTAGATCTCTCTGGGCTCCCTCTCTCCCATGTCTAGATTACAGCAGATGCTGACCTCCTGGCAGCTCTGTGTGCCTTGCTCAGAGGAACTTGGTGTCTTCTTGGACAGCAGGACTTCTGCCTGACTCCTCTGAGAGGAGGAACAGCAGGAGTGGAGAGGGCCACTCTCAGCAGGAGGATGCTGGAGAAGCAGCCCACCTTTAAAAAACCCTGATGTTCAAAAATTAATTTGAGTTTTGCTATCATAGACAGTAATAATGTGTGGATGTAACTTTAATATGACTCACTTCAGTCCCTAGTAAGAAATTTAATTTGTGATAAATATCAAATGGCTTTGAAAACTAAGGTAGGGTTACTAACACATTTAAACTGTTTTTAAACTATTTATTACATATCCTTGTTCCGGTGTGCTAAAAGAAACTTACAAGTAGGAAAAGGGGTTTCTAAGGCATTCTATTTGCAGTCAAGATTGCTTGGTGTGTTGTGTTCAGATTGCGAAGTCCCAAAGACCACCAGGAGGCCGTTTTCGATGTAAGCACACGAGGGTCATTTATTAAAGCTCAAGCAGGCACTCTCAATTGTCAGCGACACAGCGGATCGAGACTGAGAGCCCCGAGTTCCAAATTAGCAGGGTTTTTATTGAGGTTACAGCAAGCTTTGGTCATTAGCAGCCATATGATTGGTTAACATTTAGCAAGTATGAAGTGTAGAATTTTGATTGGCTAAGCTCATTGGGGGTTGAAGGGGATTACGTATAGGTTTTTACAAGAAGAATGGGGACAAAGGTTAATGGTCTACTGTCACGTACTGATGGTCAGCAGACATCCTGACTAATGGCCACGACCACCCTGTGTGGACAGTCAGCATGTTAACAGATTGTCCTATAGATAGTGGGCCCGGGACATTTGTTTCTAGGGCAAACAGATGGCTGAGTGATAAACTTAGGAATCCCGAGTTGTGGATTATGTCCTTTGTCCCAGTTCAAGCACAAATTTGAGAGAACAAAGGAGACTGTTCCAAAATGGAGTCATTCTAGTTCCACAGGTACAATCACACTGTGAACATGGAATTGCTCTCATTTCAGATATTGCTTTCTGTGTCCTTGCTCTGATATAGATTATACAGATATATACTAGTGTCTAGGTAAATCATCTTCATATGGATTAAATGTGCTAAATAATGAATGCATTCACAATTTTAAAAGGTTCATCCTTGTTACCCAGGCTGTAATATTTTAAAATATTAACATCAAATGTCAATTTATATCCATATCTATGTTATGTTTTACAAACTACCCAATAAAGTTAATATAATTTCTAGAAACTCTAAACTATATTACAAAAAAGTTTTGTCATTCACACACTAAAATATATTTGAAGTCACTCTGGACAAACATCTGAAAAGATTATTCAACAGATAAGTACAGAGGACACCAAGGGTAGAAGTGTTACAGGAATCTTGGAAAGAAATGCTCAAAGACACAGAACTCAGGTAAAACAAATAAGATTTATTTTCAAGCCAGCAAGATCACCAGAAACTGGTCTGGTCAAAGTCTGCCCCCTCTTTTGTTAGTCTCTTCTCTTTATACTTTTGTTAATCAGTATTTCCTTCCTTGTGGTCTTTGATGTGTAAATACAATTCCAGTTCCTACCTACAAGTCACAGACACAAGATAGGCACATATACATTTTAAATTCACTTAGGCTTTTGCAACTTTGTTAGGTTAAAATGTTATCTATAATTAAATTACTGGTTAACACCTTAAACATCAAGAGCAGTAGAAAAAAGCAAATCTTAAAGGAATACACTACTTATTTTGCTTCTACAATTACCTTCATAGTCAATCTACTAAGCTACTTAAAACTTTTTCTATCAATGTGATTTACCAGAAGCTTCAGGTCTATGTGTCCTTTTACTAGCAAGGCATGGTAATTGTTTTTTTGTTTGGACACCTGGCCCAATTCAAGTGGGGGGTTGTGGTTAAGAAATGCTGCAGGTATTTCCTTATCTAGGGATGGTGCTGTTGCCTGTAGTCATTTTACATATTCCTTAACAGAAGGAACTCCACCAATGTGCCTGGCTTCATCCTTGTGGGGCTGACGGACTCTGTAGAGACACAGCTGGTCCTCTCTGTGCTCTTTCTCCTGATTTACCTGATCACAGTGCTGGGGAATGCAGGTATGATATTGATCATTTGCTTGGATCCCCAGCTTCACACCCCCATGTACTTTTTTCTCACTCACCTGTCATTTCTTGACCTCAGCTACTCAAGTGTCATCACACCTAAAACCTTACAGAACCTACTGACTTCCACCAAGAGCATCTCCTTCCTGAGCTGCTTCACCCAGATGTTCTTTTTCATCCTCTTGGCTGCCACTGAATGTTTCCTTCTCTCCTCAATGGCCTATGATCGCTATGTAGCTATCTGTAACCCTCTGCGCTATCCAGTCATTATGTCCACAGGAATGTGCTGCACCCTGCTTGCTAGCTGCTATGTTATTGGCTTTGTGGATTCCATTATGAGTGTGATTTTCATGAGCAGACTGCATTTCTGCAAGTCTAACATCATCCAGCACTTTTTCTGTGACTCATCCCCAATTTTAGCCCTGTCCTGCAGTGACACATTTGAGGTTGAAATCATTATATTCATTTTTGCTGGATCAACCATAGTGCTGTCCCTCATCAACATATCTGGATCCTATATGTCCATCCTCTCCACTATCCTGAAAATTAATTCCACTGCTGGAAAGAAAAAAGCCTTCTCCACCTGTGCCTCCCATCTCCTGGGTGTTATCATCTTTTACAGCACTACAATTTTTGCTTACCTAAAACCCAAGTCATCCTATTCTTTGGGAAAAGATCAGGTGGCTTCCGTGTTTTACACAATTGTGATCCCCATGCTGAACCCTCTCATTTACAGTCTCAGAAACAAAGAGGTGAAAAATGCTGCTGCTACATTCCTGCAGAAGAGAGAGGGCTGCAGGCAGTTAATATCACAGCGGTGCTAAGCATCTACACTTGTCTTTTTCTTTTTTTAAGTGGGAAATTATAGTGTTTTTGCATGAAAAATTGTGGTTTCATTTGCTGTCCTTTCCTTACCAAATAAGATAGTGGCCATTTCCAGACACAGATGTTTAGACATTTGTATTGCATCTAGCAAATGTGATATATGCATTAGTCAGTAAATAAATACATGTGGCTTCAAGGGCAACTAATGTGCAAAAGAAGAAAATATGTCATACTGAAAATGACATATTCATGCATCCTCTAATTTTAGAGAATTTTATGTTATTAATTCTGCTTATAATAGAGATTAATAGTAGCAATATTTTGAGAAATGTGTTTACAATTGTGAAACCTGAGTGGCTCCATTTTAAAGTTTTGGCCCCATTTTAGAGTAAAGGTGGCCTGGACGTAAATTCTAGTTCCAAGAAAAACCACAAGATGCACTTTGGCCACCTACCTGTGATAATGTCTACAGTCCCCTAGCAACTAGCCTAGTGACAGCTAATCGGTAGCTGCCTCAATGTCCCAGATGCTCTTCTCGACGGCCTGCAACAGCTAATCAGTAGTTACCCCAATACCCCAGTATCCCAGATGTTCTCTTCGATGACTTGAGCAGCCGTTTGCAGTTCAGTGCTCAAGGCCCAGCCAATTAGGTTTAAACTTTCAAAACTTGCTAAATGCTAGCCAATTGTGTGATTTGCATGTGATTTGAAACCCCGAGCCCTTTTCAGAACCCCGAGCCTTGCTGTAACCTTTATAAAAACCCCTGGTGTTTTAGAGTCAGGGCTCTCAATCTTGACCCGCTGCATCGGTGACAGTTGAGAGTCCCTGCTCGAGCTTGAATAAAGGACCCTCATGTGTTTGCATCGGAATCGGTTCCTTGGTGGTCTTTGGGGACCTCGCGATCTGGGCACAACAACAATAAAGAATTGGGCATTTAGATTCTATCACTGCCACCTTTCTAGCATACAGCCCAAATTAATTAACTGAAATTCTAGCAGTCAGTATCATCAACTGCAAATGATATATAATGATCCCATGTTTGTTTGGTCAGAACGTGGTTGTAAATATTGAAGCCAGTAACAATGAATACTGGGTATTATCATAAGATGACTTGCATTACTATGATATTTAATATATTACATATTTTCGAAAAATATTTCTTTGTGTTTTATGATATTTTTGTTAATATATAAACATACCACCTAAAAAGGAAAAACCAGAAGCCCAGAGTTCCCAATTTTTGATTCAGAATAAAGCTAAATGCTTAACTAGAATGAAGTTACAGGAAAGTATTATGTCCTAATGTTGAAAATGAGTTGGAAAATAATTACTAGAGAAAAGAAAAATGTTGTATTAATTATTGACTGTCCTATTAATATTTTTCCATTTCAGTGGTTATTAATATGTCTATAAATTTAATATAATTTTCTGTAATTTCTTGTGCAGTATTTAGTGCTTTCCTTGTTTACTTTAAAGTTTCATATTCAACAATCTGTAATTGTATCATGCAAGGTTAACAAGTTTTCAGTATATGAGCCATATTCAGATTCACTGAAAGTGCTTTGATACATTTATAAGATGGAGTTTTTTCTTATATTCATTTTAATGTATTTGAGTGAGTTAGAATATTTATACTATTGATTTTTGTTGGTAAATTTGTTAATAGATTCTGACTTGGAAAACAATATTTAAATTGAATTAATTCCTAAATTTAAGTTAAATTAGTGCTATTCTATTTTCTTTATTATGTATGTTATAAAGCATTTATATCATGATATGAAATAAACAAAGATAATCTCTTGGCCATAAGAAACATTTAAACTAATTGCTTTTGCCCAGTCATTTACTTCTCATATCATTACATAGCTCATGTGATATGCTATTTCTCTGAAATAATAAGAGCTCTCATGCTCTTTTTCATGGTGCTAGGTCAGTGTGCTATGTAATATATATATAATATTTTAAATGACCATAACACAGTACAGCAAAATATGAACACCTGGTTTTGCTTCTTAATAATTAATGGCTAGAGAGCAACACTATTATACTTTACTAAAGCAGCAGTCACTGAAACGTGTACACTGTTCAATGTTTTTTACAGTTGCTAATAGAAGACACTGTGCTTGGCATTGGGGCCTAAAGCTTCAAAGTCACAAGGGAGAGCAGGGGAAGGGGGTAAAAATAAGAACCAAGAGAGTTTGTAAAGGTGCATATCTCCAATGATGAATGTCATTACATTGTATACTTAAAATGTATCAATAAAATGATATACAAAAAACCAAAAAAAAGTCACAAATATAAAGTTAGATACAGAATGAACTTGGTAAAGGAAAGAATAACTTATCAGATGGTGGATGGTGACAGGCAGAGTAATTCTATTAGGAAACAGTTTTCCTAGTGTGATAAAACATTCAGGAATAGATTCACTCAACACAAAATGATACACATGGCTATCACTTGAATTTATTGGTATTTCATACTCACCCTGTATCTCAGATTACTTTTGGGTTGGCTGTTTATAACAGGTAACTCAGTGCTCAGGTTCTCCTATGTTTTTGCTCTGTTATCTTCTCCAGCATAGTCAGAGGGAGTTCATCCAATATTCAGTATGAAAGATAGGTGAGGATTTGTTTTACAAAGGAAAAAACATTATGCAGATTTTATTCATATGAATGTTTTTCATAAAATAATTAAGTAGATAATTACTCATATTGCTTATTTTTCTAAGGAATCCTTAAGAAACTTTACTTTTTCATAATCAAATTCATCAGCAGAATAATTTCATAATACATTTTACTTTCCATTTTAATTTTTGTGAGGACTTTGTGATATCTTTATTGTTTTCTTGATATTCTATTTCTTGTTCTCCATGGAGTAAAGACTTTGGTTTTGAAATCAATATTATAATAATGTCTAAAAATAGCTTATATATAGCTTTTCCGTTTTGTTGTTGGTGATTGAACCCATGCCATGAATAACAATAGTCAATTAACATTAAGCTTCATATCTAGCCCTTATTAAATAAACAGCAATATAAGACCACTTGAAAATATTGATGCCTTTTCCACTAATCTTATTTATATTTCTCATAAATGTTATTTTTATATGTGGTTTAAATTCATAATGCAGTGGTATTATTTTCCTTCAGTTGTTTAGTTTTAAAGTAATTAAAATTAAAATTTCCATTATTTGTCACATTACAATTTACATTTTTATATTTGTCATTTCCTTTTCTGCATAGACTCAAGCATCCTTCATAGTTTTCCTTCCCAAGGTCCTTGAAACTGCTTAACCAATGGCTTAATAAATTTCTTATTGTCAAAAAAGTGTTGGTCTGTATATTCTTATGTTATTCCTGTTTCATTACTGCTTTATTTTAGACTATTTAGTAATGCCTTATAATTACTTTATATTTTTATTCATTCCATTTTCTTAACAAAAATTTCACTTAGATAAGTTCCATTGTTTCTTTTTCAATTTCATGATTATTTCTTAATCTGCACTGACTCCACTGATGACCGTGTTGTAGGATTCCACATATCTGATTTTGTGTGATAGTGCATGCATGGATGTGTTTGCATGTGTCTTTCCAATGTGATACTGAATACTTTCCATAACTTCCATCTACCTAGTTCAAACTCTGACAAGTTCATGCATGTTGCTTACCCTCTTTACTAGAGTCTAGATGACTCAGGATGCTTTTAGACATATACTACCACAAATGTGTGTATTTTAACAAGTTGATCATATTAGTTATTCTGTTTTTTTCATTTTGTTTATTGGTACATTTTAGATATACAACAAGGTTACATTCATCATTGGAATCTTGTACCTTCACATGATGTATCTTTGTTCTTATTTTTTCTTTATTCCTCTGCCCTCCCTTTAACCCCTCCCCTCTACCCCTCCCTACTTACAAAGACCTTGTTTCCATTTTTCTTTACTCATGTTTTTGCTTCTCCCTTCTCCTTTCCCCTACCACTTCTTCTACCGCTTTAGACCTTTTTCTTCCTATTTCACATTATCTATTATATGTTTGATTCTTATTCTTATACATTTTTGATGGTGATGAACAGAGAAGACTTGGAGAACTAATATAAACTCTCTCAATTAAAGGTTCACTAGTTTTCACATCTGCTCATGGTTGGCATTAACTATGGTTTAATATGTAGCTGAGATTCCTCTGTGCTTGCAGTGGTTACATCTTGCTTACACACTTTGCACAATGTGAGCAATTTCATGGGTTCCATGTATTCTGGGAAGGGATTTTTCTTTGGAGTTTAGATTATGTGAATGAATGTGAATTCAAACTTGGAAAGTCTCACTGAAAATTATGATTTTGTAGATTAACTGGATTTTAAAACAATGGTAGAGGAAATTTTATTGTAGGTTTTTACAATTTATGTTTTTACAACTTATTGTAGGTTTTTACATTTGGAACCCCTCTTATCCATTCTATGAATGTGAGAATCTTTTCTATGCATAACACCACATTTACTAGTGCATTATCAACTTCTGAATCTAGAAAATGTAATGGTACCTCAACTCAGCCCTTTTCTAACTGATCTTATCCACTCTGTTCTTCTGCTGCTACATTGTTTCTTTGCTCATTCCTTCTTTTATTCATTCTATCATGTTTCCTCTATCCTTCCTTCCTCTCTATCTCCCTGTTGTCCCAGTTCCTTGTTATCTTCCTTAATTCTCTCCCTACCTCTCTCCTTCTTTCCTCCCTTCCTTCCTTCTTTCTGTCCTTCCTTCCTTCCTCTTTTCCTTCCTTCCTTTTTCTTATATTATGGGACTGAATCCTATCAAGTAAACCCAAAATGTGTAATGTCCTAATCACTGCAATGACTTATCAAATCAAGTGGAAATCATTTCTACATTATATTATACATTAAGATATTGTCACTGTTATTTCTGTTACTGAGCTAATGAAGATCTTCATTGCTAAAGTGAAAATATGAGGCAATTCCTTCATTTCTTTAGGCAAAGTAAACTT